AAAAGGCCCACATGTAGAAGGTACCATTGAGAGGCAATAAAGTCTTTAGCAGGTGGAGCCCAGTGACAAGGTTTAGCTAATGAAAGAGTTGCCCTTGAATGGAATATTGGCACCCCTCACCTCCCGCTTTGAGAATTACAAAGTTTTCATGCCTCACACATGTCTTCCATGCAGTATTGTGTAATCATAAACTGAAAGCAACAGGACCTATCTGACATAGACTGAAACTTCTGAAATCATGAAACAGAATATACATTTCTACTTACAAGCTGGTTATCAGAGGTATTTGGACACTAAAGGAAAGCTAAGCAGAACATTCTGACTTCATATAAATGTTGGTGACAGTAGAGATGTTGGGTAAATTTACAGAAAGATTCACGTGATAATGTTGTTTGCATCATTTTGGAAATTCATAGTATCTGCCGTTCTCGCTGTATAAGAAGCATGCTTAACAACTCCTCCAAGTCCAAAAATTGTTTAACATATTCTAGTGCTCACCCACATTAACAAATATTTTAGTAAGTTTATAAATAATCTTTCAATAAGAGGATCACATTGAGCATATATATATAACTAAATTCAACAATAGATTAATTAAGTGCCTACTGGTAAAATTTACTTTGTCCAACTAGGCACAGTGGCACATATCTGTAATCACAGCATTTTAGGGGCTGAGTAAGGAGGATCATCGTGAGTTTGAGGCCAACTAGACTATATAGCAAGACCTTATTAAAAACATAAAACAATATGAAACAGAACACACATAAAACCAAAAATCTACATTGTCCAAGAATCTCTGTCTGAAGGTATATATAAAACATATGTAGTCACATTCATAGAGAGTCATTAGTAGAGAACTCTAAGAGTATTCACACTCAGTTCCTGATTTGCAAGAAAGCAAAATATATGAAAAAGCATGTATCTTAATGAGAAAATAAAGTGCACTAAATCAGAATTTAGAATTCACAAAAAGACTCTGTGGAAGTTTATCTAGGTTGTACCTAAGCAGATGTGATTTCCTGAATTTGTTTTCCCAGTACTGACGATGTGGCATTTTCACATTCTCAGCCATTTAAGAATATTGGCAGACTTATTTCAAGTTATTAAGTGTCAGAAAAGTGTCCATGACCAACATGAGAAAACAGTCTCTTCATGCTTTTCAACACTCAAAACATATTCAAATGTAAAAAATCCAATAATATGATTGCAATAACAAACTCACTGATGTGTGTTTATCTTGCTTTTACACACTGGGATTTACTAGAAATCACCTTATGGAAAAGTAGTTCTATGTGCTAAAGCCCTAACTCAATGGAGCACTACACATAAAAGTTATTAAAATCAAATGGTTCTTTTAAACTTTAAATTTAAACCCAGAGAGCTAGATAATCCAAAAAGAAATTAAGAAAATGACCTGCTGTAAATAGTCAAACTACTGAATTTGAGGGAGAAAGTAATAAGTGATAGAATATCTCCTCCAAACAAAAGAAAGTCCCTCATTTTGGTAAGGTAAGTTAGATTTTTTTCATGCGTATTGGAACTACACAAATAAATATGCTTCAAAAATTAATTTGAAAGACTTAAATAGAGTTAAGTAAAATAAAAAATTCACTTCCTGATATTATTTTCTGTTTTGGTTAATGATAATTCACACCATTAACCAAAACAAAAAATAATTCTGAAAATAAACGGTTCTTAAGTGTAATTCTGATTCGTGCATTAATAAATAGAAATATAATAAATCCCTTTTTCATGCTGAATAAGTTAAATGGTTTGCAGATTCCACAACTTGTAAAACTTTCTTTTATAAACTTATTTCTTTAGCAACTAACAATTAGTGTATAAAATATAGTTTAATATATTTCTTTATATATTAAAATTTCATTTTTCATATATTTGTATACTTATATTCACATTATTTGATATTTGAAAAATATTTGGAAATGTATTGAGATTATATTATGATATGAATTTAAGGAAATCATTAATTTTTTAAAAGAGGCATTGTAAAACCACAAAATATTAGAATTAGAAAGTAACAGAAGGAGAAGAAAAGAAACAAAATACCACCTACTGGATGTTAAAAGAAATTCCCTATTACCTTTGGTGTCAAAAAGCAAGAAATTTACCCCAAAATATAATAAAACCCTAAAGTTATACTAAAATCAGAGTTTTAAAAATTATGGGATTTATCTGAATGATTAGTATCAGCTGAGATACAGAAGCTGACACAATATTGTTGGTGTCGGTACTTTAGAAAGAAATACATGAACTTACATAATGATCAGGAAGCAAATAATTCTTAACTTCTTCAGGAAAAAAGGTGTCATTGGGAAGCTTCATCCTATATCAAAATAAAATTTAGGTATATTAAAATGTATGATAAAACAACTGAAAACTTCACTTAAAATGTAAAGAGCAACATCTCGGTATAGAATAAGTGTGACACTGCAGAAAAAAAATCTTAGAATAAAAGATAAAAGGCATCTAACATAGTTCTTTTAAAATTCTGTTTATCAACTTAGAACTAAACAGTCACAAAAGGGAAGACATTTACAAAAACATTTTGTAAAGATATATTACACTCACATAAAAATATTTAAAATATCAGAGTTCAGATGAGTCACAAAAGATAACGTCAAGACTCCAAGTATAATTTCATAAGTGTTTACTATTTCATTTATTTAAGGAGCAGATAAGCATTTGAAAATATCGATAAATAAATAAAAGAAATAAATCAATAAAAGATTAAATAATGATGTTACATATAAAAGACATTTCAATTTCAAATATAATAAAATGTATGCATTAATTTTTACATAAAAATATTGAAATGAAACTATAGCATTGAGTAATTCTTCCTGGCTTTAATATGGGCTTAGTGTCAAGAATACATTCCTGAAATGTACTAATCATAGCACTGCAGCTAGTGACAACCAAAATAGCCCATCATTGGAAATATATTGTGTGACTGCCAGCATGATTATTTCAAATAATCCAGTATAAATAAGTTGTGGCATGCAACAGTGCTAGATTTTCATTATGTCCATACTGCTTGATTTCAAGGTGTCAATCTGAAGAACATCCCCATATTGACATTATTGAAATCTGCTGCCACTGCCACCATTCACATGGCCCTGGCATTCTCTACCTACCCTTCTGGTTACTTATACTGTTTGTGACTAAGCCATTCAGCTGTTCGAATATTACGGGGGCAATGAACAAATCATGAAATCAACCAAGGAAAATCATGAAACTGAAATGGATATCGGCAATTCCTGTCCTCTGCTCTGCCAATTTATGCAGTTAGCAGCATCATCCTACAACTATTTGTCTGAATTGTTATCTCAATTTTCCAGTGAAATACTGGATACTACTAACAATATATGTTAGAAGAGATACCTGAACAGTTGACATGTACATGTGTGTTGTGTGTGTGTGTGTGTGTGTGTGTGTGTGTGTGTGTGTGTGTGAGTGCTTATGGAGAGAGAGAGAGAGAAAGATAGAATTTTACTACTAAATCTAAAGTCAGTACTTTTTACATGGAATGAACTTGATAAAAAGTCACAGCATTCTGAGGTTATTAAAATAAATTTTATTAATAAATTATGTAATATAATTATCGGTACTAGTTAGAGTGAGTTGAATATAATTGTAAGGAATTCATATTGTACATAGAGTTTTAACTAAAAACCACATCTTGTTAGCATCTATGAATTAGAATGGGTAGATAGATGCACAAACAGAAACACATACAGCTTTTTAAAATGCATTTTGAAATAGTTACAGATTAATAATTTTTTATAATAAATAATAGTCTGTGTGCCCTTTCCCTAATTTTTTTTACAATAGTAGCATCTGAAAAAAAAAAAACTATTCCATTATCACAATAATATAAACAATGATGTGATAACCATACAAAATTTCCACGATAGCCTGAATCCCTAAGCATTTTCTCTTTGGAGACTTAATTTGTGATCTCTTAGGCTTCCTTTTTATTCCTGGCTACCACAAATATGATCTATTTTTCTATATTTTTATAACAATATATAAATTACATTCATACTGGGTAAACTTTAGGGGTCATATTTTTTCTATTCATCAAGGGTCTTTGGGGATACATAGAAATTATTGTAAAACACAATCTTCTTTACTTCTCTCTGAGGTCCTTGAGATTCTGTTCATTTTTCGTTCAACTTTTCATTTCTAAATCAATTTTAACTGCTCTAACTTCCAATTCTTCTAATTTCTGTTAATTTTTTCTAGTTGTGCATCTCTATGGTATATAGTGGTGGTGACAAAAGCATCTCACTGAGACACAGCTTTGCTCTCTTACAGGTTTCCCCATGGTTGAATGGAAGTGGACCTCCAGGTATTTAATGATGTCCTACAGGATTCCTTTGATTAGGACAATGGGATCATCAGCTAAATGACACATGTGTTAGTCTGTGAGGATTTCCATAATAAAATACCACGGATTTCATGGTTGATGAAACTTGCAGTAGACTGAAACTTATTTCTCTCTGCTGTGGAAATCAGAGGCCTCAAATCATCTTCCATTGTGTTTCATATTTACGGTACAAGATCTTGATCTAGAACTGCCTTTTGTCTTCAAATGGTCTTTTTCTGAGGGTACTTGTAGGAGAATCATTCTGACTCAACCTCATGACCTCTTTTATCTGTAAGTATCTCCTAAAACCCTGCCTATAAATGTAGTTATCCTGAGGTCTAAAGCATCAAACTATGAATGATGAGGACAGTCTCAAGTTCAGGAGCATCGGTGTCATCTGGGAGACTTCAGTAGTTGAGTGATAACAGAGTCCTTTCAGATTCACATTGGACTTGAAGATCATCAAGAAAATAACTCACACATTAAAATTTGAATTTTTCTGAATACCTTGTGTATAAGAAAATAAAAACAATTGCTGGCATGTGAGAGACTATTCTTAGCTTTCATTGCTTTTCATTATTGTTTAAAAAACACACCCAGAGAATCGGACATGGTGGAACCCAAGCCGCTGCAGAAGAAGGCAACTCGCCCACCGTCTTGGCAAGCACCTCCCTTACTGGCTTCAGTGAGTCTACTGGCATATGGGCTGGAAATCAAAGATCTCAACCCCAGCACCTCATTTAGCAACTAGGGACAGAGGTCTAAACATGACTTGAGAGGATGACCTTAATGCAACATAGCAAATATGGGGGATTTCCTTCCATCTTATGTTTGAAGGTAAATGTTTTTTTCACTATTTTGTTTCATTACGATTAATTATATTACACTATTCAATATTCTCTTTTGAATAGTCTTATAATGTTTTGCTTTTGATTTGATTTTGTTATACCTAACTACCTAGACAACTATTGTGAAGATAACAATATATACTATGATACCTATTACTGTTATGCTGGTATCCTGCTGTGAAGTTCTGTACCAGTTTCACTGCATTGTCTCAATTGGCTTTGTTCTGTCTTGTTCTATTGTGTTTTTACTACCTTCAAAATAAAATAAAAAATAAATAAAGTCAAATACAGAACCATAGAGAACACGAAGTGAGAACAAAATTTGTAAGAAAAGTGCAAACTTCACATTGAAAAGAAGATAGTATTTGGACATTAACTGTTTACTCTCTGATTAGGTAGGAAATTAAAGATTAAAATAATTCAGAAAGGATTCAGGAAGGTGATTTAGCATATATTGTTTGCCACAGATTGCAGACAGTAATAGAAAGGATGACACATTATGAAACACAAAGGAAAAAATAAGAGAGAAGTCTACAGAAACTAGTGAAGAGGAAGACATTGTTAAACCTCCAGGAAGAGAACAGCACTACTCCACTCATGAAACTGATGTGTGTAGAATGCAGTAAGATTTAAACCAAATGATATTTTGTTAAAAAATATTTTGTGGCACATTAGAAATAAAAATATAAAGCTTATTTCTATAACTATAACTGAAAACCAGTATAATAAAAGTGCACTGTAGCACATTTAAATGTCAAAACACAGAAAACATACTTTTAAACAAATAGTAGTTTGGAAAAACGTTCATTGGAGTATGATTTACATTCTATTGTCACACGTATAGGTATTTCTATTATATCATTATAGGTTTCAATTTTTCAGTGAATATGTCTGAGGGTTCTTTTCCTGTATTTGAATTAATTGTTTAGCTTTTCTAAAAGTGGAATTTTTGTATTTTTATAAAATGCATTCTCATCCTTTAAAAATAAAAAAAATTAATGTCTCAATTTTCTTCCTGAAGCTTCTGTAATGGGATAACCTGTGAAGCCTAGCTGGAAAAAAATGGCAACTTCAAAGTCATAAACATTTTTCACTATATAAAAAGAAGACAGGACTTTACCTTTGGAGCTAACTTATTTATATTGGGAAAATCAGTTTAACAGATAATTAAGTCAAGTGAACTTCAAGTAAATACTCTACTGTCCTGAGAAAGTTTGAGTAGACCAAGTGAAAAATTCATAAATATGTTAAAGTCCAGCTTCTGAATGAAAACAAAGTAAAAATGTATTACATAATGAAATGTTTTAGAATACATAAACCATATGTGCAGTACTATTTTTGCAAATGTGGATTAAGATGTTCTGAGCCCAAAAAGCATTGTTTAATCTTTGGGGACATGTTAGGTGCTGACCACAGACTGTGAGAAGAGACTGCACCACTGCAGGCTGCATCAGGCTGTCTTCAGTTTCTAAAGGAGAAGTTCCTGTGGGGGGCATTGAGCTGAGGTACTGTCAGCCTGCAAGACACGAAGTATACTGCTTAATTTGTAATCTTGGGAATTATGTTCTCTAACTCTGATAATTGTCCATAGTGAGTCCCAGGATTAGATATTTCTTTTTTGAAAAGAAAACATGGTTTTTCCAGAAAAGAAGCAATATGCTTTCTACCTAGCAGCATTGGGACTGTGTAAGGCAGGCTGGGTACATTGGAGGCAATAACAGAAACACATTCCTATTTTGGGATAATAGATTTGGTATTTCTCAAAGCTAGGCACTGAAGTATTTGGGAATGGTAGTTAATGGGACTAAATATGTATCAGTCTCATCAGAGAAGGAAAATCTGCAGAATTCAGGTTTTTTTTTTTTTCTTTCTTTCTTGGTTTGTTTTTTGTTTGTTTGTTTTGATTGGTTTATTTTTGAAAAAGAGTTTTGCTATGTAATTCAGGCTGGCCTTGAGCTCATTTTGTAGCCCATGCTGATCCCAAACTCATAAAGATCCTCCTTCCTCAGTATTCTGAGTGCTAAGATTACAGCAGTGCACCTCCACACCTAGCTTTAGAAGTTTATTTTCATAAAAAAATAAAAAAGTAAGATTTTGTTGTGAGATCAAAATCATATAATTTCACACTAATTATCTCTCTTACATTGCATTTTAAAATTAGAATGAAACGAATTTCTGTTCAATTTTAGAGTACAAATTCAGTACCTCACACGATACAGGAAAATGTATACCCATTATTTCAAAACTAGAAAATTAGTTGAGAATAATTCTTTAATATAATAAAACTTGAGAATATTGGTAAACTATGGATTTTAAATCATGTAGAACTCAAATCAAATTGAAATTTCCTTTGAAATTTTAATTTCTAAATTATACCATTTTAAAGATCCTAACTTTTCACACAGTAGTCATATGGCTTTTGGTTAATAGTGATGGTAAATGTGTCCCTTGAGTCACATTTTTCTTGTATTGCTATTTTAATGTATGCAAAATGATGATTAACATTGATGATAAAATCATCTGCATTATATGGTCTTAACACAGTATCACTAAGAGACATAGAAAATTATTATTCAATAAAAATTCAAAATGTCATATCAGTACATTTCCTGATGAAGAAAGAGAATAATTTTCACTTTATAATATGATGAGTTGCTTCTGAATGTCTGATTTTAGGAATAAATAGAGGGAAAATCTGTTAACAAGGTATTTAATGATGGATTAAAATTTAGCCAAATACAGTGGATTTTTTTTTCAAATTAATCCATCTCCAAACAGGGCATTCTATGCAGTAATGAGAAGTGCTCTTGGATTTTGTTGTGCACAGCACCATCTTTGGAGTAATAGATCATCTAAACACCTTTTTCTGATGATACATTACTCAGATGAAGCATCAGCCAGATCAGTGTTTCTAATGATTTATAAGTCCACTAAATCATTAAAATGAGGCATAGTGATGAGACAGTATTCAAAGATGGTTCCATATGGACAAGAGGAAAAATTTTAACTTTGCAATTCAAAAATCAAGCAAAAATAGTAAAATCTCTGAAATTTAAGGAGACATTATCTTTAACTGTTTATTTCTATACATACTAAGTATTGTCTCAGAAATATGGCATTAGTATTTTTTGTTTTCATAATTATTTTTTCAGCCAATTGCATAATATCTTAAGAAATAATTATTTGACATGATTAACAATAAATTTGAATAATTATGATATTTAAGAGTTCTAAATAAAAATAATAAGAGAACCTACAATTTACACTGCTTAAAGAGCTAGAAAATATTAATTACAAGTAGGATTGAAAATTAGAGATAGCAAAGCTAAAATAGCTGAATTAGCCATTTTGAATAGCTGTTAAAGATTGACAAGTGCTTGTTAATTTGCCTTTCGTTGCTACTGCCAATTTTCAATAATTGAAAAGCATGAAAGTGTCACTCTGAAACACACAAGACATCTACTTCTAAAAAAAAGGAAAGAATGAAGGAAGGAAGGAAGGAAGGAAGGAAAGCAAACTGCAAGTCACAAAGTTTTCCTCCATCTGTCGTGAAGCTATGATCTTGGGGCCATGAGATAGACAAAAATGTGGAGACAAACAAGCAGCCATGGTGATAAGTAAGGTGGAAGCCCTTGGCTACGTGTGCAGGCTGGAGTAAGAGAATGGAGTTATTGACAAATTAGCTAAGACCAACTGTAAATTACAAGAAGACTAAGAAGTTCCTGGAAACTACAGATGCATAAGTTGTCACAATATCCCATGGTTTTCCCCCTGAAATCTTAAGAATCTGATTGATAAGACTGAGGAAAAGGTCTGAGAAAATATCCCTGATAGTCCAAGTCTAAGTGAACTGAGCAGCTGGGACAAAAGTGTCACAAATCTCTGATCAGATTCTTCTTGCCTCCCTATTCTATTGAGAAAACATATTACTTTTTAGGTGGGAGGACCATAGAATTACCAGAGGTAGGGAGCACTGGTGACAAAACTGTCAGATTAAGGAGGTGGGGTGTATTCTGGAAGAGAAGGAGCACAGAAGTTTGTGAAAATCCTGTTCCTCCAATCTGGGGGCAAATTACCTCCCTAAAAGTTAATCAGAAAACAAATATTTTCATCCAACCGTAAACATCACATGCATATAAAAGTATAATACTGATGAAAAACTTTTACTTTTCTTCCTTCTTCCTTTTCAGACACAGAAGAACGCAAAATAAGAAATCTAAGTCTGGAGCAGATATTGAGAAAATTTCTGCATAAATTTTATTAACATAAACTCAAGCTGTCATTAGCCAACTTAATGCTTATATTTAACTTGAGGTAATGACAAGAAATATCTGCATCAAACCGTGAGGTCATTCAGTTGGGACACAAAAGTCCCAAAGGAATGACCAATAGGAAAAATGTGCACAATCTATCTCAGTCTCTACAATCTTGCAAAGGAAAAAGAGTCATAAGACATAGGAAAAGACAATGAAAAAAAACCAGAAAATTGCTACGAGGTGAGGCAAGTAAAAAGAACACACACAAATTCTGTATGACACAAATTTTATTTTTAACATAAATATTTGACCCATGATATTAAAATGTGCAAATATTTTAGACCCATATTTTTAAAAATATGCCGATGGACAACATGCAAGATGGATAATTTCACCAGACATATGGCAGGTATAAAGGACTCAAATGGAAATACTAGAGATGGAAAGCATAGCAGTATAGATAAAGAATTTCTGGATAGATTCCTGAGTGGATTCCACATAATGAAGAAGTGAATCAGTGAAAAAAAAAAAAATATATATATATACACACACACACATACACATAATGAAACAAATGAGAG